TAATTCAATTAAATTTTTTTAAAAAAAATTAACTCAATTATAAATATGAAATAGACTGCTTATGTATTTATTTCATTAAAATAAATCATCTATTAGCATTAATATTTTTAAAAAATTATTCATTTTTAAATTAATTTATAAAAAAATTTCTTTTTAAATACGTAAACACGGAATTTGAAACATGCATACATACATAATTGCAAACTTATATGTATATATGAAAACATTAATTTATGAAATAATTGGATTAAAATCGAAATATTTGAATGTAAACTTATATGTACCTATTAAAACATTAATATATGTATTGGAATAATTCATAAATAGAGGCAAAACTAGGGGTTTATAGGCGCAAATTCGAATAATTATCTTGTAACAAAAATAATGTTACTGAAAAAAAAAACCTGAGCTTGAGGACCAAATCCAATCTTCCCCGGACCCTAATCATGACCTGATCCTAAAATCCCCAAATCTCCACCTTCACGCTCCACCGTCCGTCCGATCAAAGCCCGAAATCACCGAAAGGCTCAACTGCTAGACGATGCCGTCCCACGGCGATATGGATCGTCAGATCGAGCACTTAATGCAGTGCAAGCCGCTATCGGAGGCGGAGGTGAAGACTCTTTGCGAGCAGGCACGTGCGATCCTCGTGGAGGAGTGGAATGTTCAGCCGGTGAAGTGTCCCGTCACCGTCTGCGGCGATATCCACGGCTAATTTCACGATCTCCTCGAACTGTTTCGCATCGGTGGCAACACTCCTGACACTAATAATCTCTTTATGGGCGATTACGTTGGTAGGTCCACTTTCCGTTGCATTTAATTGCCATTGGTTAATTTTAATTTGAATTAAGGTTTTTTTTTTTTTTTAACTTTTAATTATATCATTTTTTGGGAAGATTCATAGATTTGGAATTTTTTTTAATATTATGGGGTTTGTGTTTTTAGATTATAATTATTATTGGTTGAAAACAGAAATGTTAAAAGGAAGATTTAGGGAAGGAAGTGATACGCTTGTAATTTTTGGTTTTAAGTTCTTGGTAGTTGGAAATTGGTTTAGCTTGTCTGTGCAGAGGGAAGATCTTTTTTTTTTTTTTGGCTTTTAGAAGTTCTAATGTTTAATGTGTGAGTTTTTGGAGAATAAGCTTGTCTTTATCATCTAATGAGGTGAAATAGAATTGTTTGACAAAGTTAATATAGGGCTGTTGGAGTAGAGATATGTAAAATTTTGAAGAGTATTTCCTTAAATATCAACCAAACCAAGCCCTTTTATGATAACTCAATGAATCTGGTTATTATAGTGTTGATTTATCTGTGATCTACCCAAGTTAGTGCCATACAGTAAATATGAGCTACTAGTACAAAAAATTTACCGTACAGCTGAAAATATCCAGGTTTTCTAAAATCAAGATTTTTGGCACTTGGCAGTAACTACTCAGTGATGGAATGTTACCTGTAGAACAGGAGTTTGTATAAAGATAGTGGAGAGTCTTGAGATGGAGTTTTATTCACAATCTAATACCATTGGTTTACTGTTTGTTTTTCTTTCTGATATGGCCTATGCTAGTCTTTTTATTGTCTAACATTGTTACAAATCATACATATTGATTCATCTTAGTTGATGCTTTGCATAACTGTATGGTTTTTTTTTTTATGCAGATCGAGGATATTACTCTGTGGAGACTGTCACTCTTTTAGTCGCGCTGAAAGCTCGCTATAGAGATGGAATAAGTATTTTAAGGGGAAATCATGGAGCTGCCAGATAAATCAAGTGTGAGATATGCATATTTAGTGTTTTTTTCTACTTTTCATTAAGTAATTGCACTAACAGTCCTGTTTGTTGTCTGACTTAATAAAAAGTACTCATGCGCGTTCTTTAGAGTACTTTAATTTTATTAGATGTCATATGTTAATGTCTTTAAATGAAAATTGAAAATGTAATGATAAGGTTTTTCTGCAAGAAGTTTACTTGATTAGTTCACCAAAATCTTTTTTTATTTTTTTATTTTTATTTTTTTGCTAACTTATACTAATGTATCTTGTAAGAGAGTTGGAGAGTTGGAGTATGGATGCTAGTTAAAACTGCAACACATATTTGGATTACCATGTGCTAGTATTAAGGAGTGAAGTTATTTAGTAATTTTGCTGGATCAATCTGTGTTCATATCAATAAACAAATGCCTCTCTTTTCAGGTATGGCTTTTACGATGAATGCTTGGGAAAATATGGAAATGCTAATGTATGGAAGTATTTTACTGTCCTCTTTGATTATTTACCTCTGACTGCCCTGATTGAAAGTCAGGTTTGAATTCTCTGACACAGTTTATGTTGTATTTCCAAAATCTCAGCTGACAAGTATTTATGTTCCTTGTAGATTTTCTGCTTGCATGGTGGACTCTCTCCATCTTTGGATACATTAGATAACATCTGTGATCTGGACCATATACAGGAGGTAAAGTTGTAGTTCTATTATCCCTTGCACATAAAAGTTCATAGTCTTAGAGTAGATTGTCTACTTGGTTACAAATAATAGTATGTGCTGAAAAATCTTTTGTAAACATTGTAATGCATACAAAGTGTATTATTGACTATTACATATGTGAAGTTCATAATGGATACTATCTTTTGAAAATAGGAGGTGGATTAGAGTAAAGCTTATTATGGCTTATGTGATTTGCTCGACTCACTACCCGAAGGTACCATGACTCATAAGACATGATTGACCCTTGGAATGCTGTGTCTTTGTTCTTGTCAACACCAAAGACACTAGTAATAGTGTTGATGCTTATCCTGCGAAATCATAACAGCAACCTCTAGTAAACAGTGTAGCATTCTTGTTCACTGTTTTCTAGAATTCTAACAGGTTTCATCACATCAAATATGCCTTTCCCAATATTACTGTATTTCTAATTGTACTAGTATTTTCGTATTTCTTGGCTGTGTAGGTTCCTCATGAGGGTCCAATGTGTGATCTTTTATGGTCTGATCCTGATGACCGATGTGGATGGGGAATATCTCCTCGAGGAGCAGGGTATACCTTTGGACAGGATATTTCTGGGCAGTTCAACCACACAAATGGGCTCACTCTGATTTCTAGAGCTCACCAGCTTGTTATGGAAGGATAGAATTGGTCCCAGGTTTGTGGATCTCTCATCAAATAGAATATATTTTGAATAATTTTTTCTCACAGATTGTTTACATTGATCTCTGTATTATTGTAGGACAAGAATGTGGTAACAGTATTTAGCGCACCAAATTACTGCTACGGCTGTGGAAATATGGCTGCTATACTTGAGATTGGGGAGAAAATGAAGCAAAGTTTTCTTCAGTTTGATCCAGCTCCACGTCAGATTGAATTTGGGACCCAGCGCAGAACCCCTGACTATTTTTTATAATTCCCTTAACTTACCTCTACCGGCAAATACTCATATTTCCTGTTACGTTTTTGTAGATGTGTCTTACAAAATCAGAGAGTTCTGGCTTCCAGTTGAGGGAAGAACAGAAGAAACCATTGTTTTTGTCATTCTTTTGGTTGTTCTAGTGCTGCATTCATACGAGTCTAAAGGGTTCATTTGTAGAAGGTTGAGGTCTTGTATTCTAAAAGGTAGCATAACAAGCTTTTTTTTTTTTGCTGTATTACGAGTTTAAATCATAGGGGATGAAGGTGATTAAAATGCATGTTCCAATTTTTTTTTTCTTGTAAATGTTGAGTATATGTGAGAGCTGTTTCTTGTGGTACTTGCCTCCCCAAACAACTTGTTATGCTTTGACTTATTCTAAATAGTGAAATATACCTCAATTTTGAAATGCAAATGTCACTTCCTTGGTGATTGCTTTCTTCTGAAACGATGCTGCAGTTTTTCTGTATGCTTTGGTGGGTGAGGCGAAGTTGAGAAGGTTGGTGTTTTGGAGAATGACAGTATTACTGGGAAATGAACGGATTAGAAATTTGATTGGCTTAGATAAATTAGCAAAAGTTGAGTTTCGCTTACTAATTTGGTACATTACCTTTGACTATCCAGCATTTCCGAGGAAATTCCCAAATAATTTCCCTTTTAACAAATCAATTGTCGCAACCATATGAAGTAATCTCTTTTCTGTATAAAATCATCATACGAAAACTAAAGAAAAAACAAAGGAAAAAAAAAAAAAAAAAAGAAAAACATTAACATCCCAGTTACACACCACTTTGAAATTGTGGCAAGACTTTTTCTGTATCTTCTCTGTTCTCATCGTCAACAATCTTCCAGATCATGTGTTTTTGGTTTTGGAAAGTTGAAAACAATATGCAAAGTGAGTTGGTGTATATATAAGTCCATGATAACCCTTTTCTTTTTCCCTAACATTTTGGCCTACCACTAGTTACAAGTTTCAACTAAAATCTCAAATAAACGATTCCATAGCAGGTCAGAATCTTGCTTGCCAAGTCGTTGCAAAGCTCAATTTGCTGCTAGTCCTGCAAAATGATCACTCAAATAGTAGTACTTGTTTTAACTTGTGGCGAACGAGAAAACACTTACTGAAGAACAAGGCATTATATCCACGACTAAGATTCCAGCCATAAAATGCACCTTTTGGTGCAATAGAAGCCCTTCAAGGGCTCTCAAATGAGCTATTAAGAGGTTTAGTCATAAAAGCATCATCCGATGCAGTGGGAACCCTTCGATCGGGCTCCCAAATGGAATGTAAATTTGGACGGACAGTGTGTTGCTGTGGGAGTGCTCCTCATTACAAGTGTACGCTAGTTTATTTATTTATTTATACTTAAAAACCAGGAATTAACCGAGTCACCATGTAGTAAGTGATAGTAATAGACTTGTTACCTCCTTAGTAGAAGGGACCAAAAGCGGAGAGTTACAAAAGCTCCAAATCCTTTATAACATCCTAACAAGAAAAGGAACAAAAAGAAAATGTGTCAGAAATTACTTGAATCTTAATTTACTTTCAAAGAGCATATAACTATTGGAAGTATAAATATTTACCAATGATGGTTTGGAAGATAATTATGCATCTGCGCTTTCAGAGTATGACATTGTTGCTAAGTACTGAAGCTTTTGTAGATTCTGAGAAATCTCTGCTAATAGTTTTGCTCCGTTGCTGCCTACTTCGTCTGTAAGATCAGTAACATGTTTCAGGATTCCACCATCTGCTGCAAGGGCCTCAATCTTCTCACGAATACAGGACAATTCACTCTTTAGGACTGCTTTACTTCCATTTCCTGGAACAGCGCAGATACAATTGATCTTGAATGATTTCAATCAGAATGGAAAAACCTAACTTTACTGTTGATTAAGGAAGAATGTTCATTTGAACAAAGGGAAAATAAACTGTACGATTTCATCAGACTGATAAATGTTCAAAGCCATCTTGGCTGCATTGCAAATCAAGTACTATATTTGTGTCATTGTAGGCATCTTACCAGTCTGTTCTTCCATGTTGCCGTCATTTTCACTACTAGACTTTGAGGAAACACCCCCACTGTCTGATGAAATATGCTGTTTCTTCTCTAGATTTTTCATCCGGTCCAATTGCCGGACTCCAGAGACTTTCTTTGATTTGTCAATGGCATCCCTTCCGATATCATCCTGATCATGATTCTGTGCTTTTTCCCCAGTATTAGACCCTTCATTAAGGCTACGAGTAGGGCTGGTACATTCAGCTCTTCCATTGGAGAATGAGTAAGATGGTGGTTTCAAGACTTGGTAGACCTCGTCACTCTCATCTGCTTTTCCTTCAAAATCAATTTCCTTTAAGCATCCATAATTTTGTCTATAAGCCTCAAGTTCAGCCTCTAAATCCTTGAGTTCTTCCTCTCTCTTGGCCAGCAAATTAGTCATCTCTTGTAGGGCTTCTTGGTCATATTCTGCCTGCTCCTCCATCATTCTCTGGTATTGTAAGGCCTCCATCTGAACAGCGGCCTTCTCAGCTTGCAACCTGGTGATCATGGCCATTGCATTGTTAGCTGCAACAGCAGATGCACTTCTTTCTTCATCCAGTTCCATGTACAAAGCCATCAGTGACTTGCGATCCATACGAACTTGTCTCTTCAAATGATGCAAAATATCACCTTCTGCCTCATTTGGCACTTGTCCCTCTCCAGATTCTGAAGCAAATTCTGTTCTCTCTAGCTGTGATTTCCCTTGAATTCTTGTCCCCCTAGGACTGTTTGTTGCTGAATCCGACAGTGAGATTCCGAAAAACTTGTTTCCCCTGATAAAGCTAGGGGTCTTATCTTCATCATCAGCATCCATCAGTAATGGTATCGTAGCAGCTTTGGCATCTTCCCCGACTGTTGAAACATTCATGACCAAAAAATCAGTAAAAATGACCAACATATCACAGTAACATTCTAAAAATATGCATGTTGGACCTTATCCATTCAAAGTATATTGATGATTTCACAATGAGTAATGTCAAAAACAACAAAGGAAAATGAAGCAAAATACTAGTATATGCTTTTAACTCACAAGGCTTTTCAAGGGTTATTCCCCTTGATCCATCATTATCCTCGTGAACCTCTGCTTCATACGAGTTGAGCTTGAGCTCTGTATATTTAATGTGTGACAAATATAAATTTCGGTTGGCTGGAGCCCTGGGAGATGGAGCAGGAGCTAGGGATGAGAGGGAAGAATTTTTCCCTTTTGAATAGGAGGATTTCACTTTCAATGGCTCCCCACAACATGAACACCGATGATCATTGCTCTTCTCAAGAACTTCTTCATCCTTTTTGCCAACAGGCAATGACAGATGAACTTCATGATCTTCATCAACAAACAACTCAACATCCTTGTGTAAGATCCCCAGAAGGGACTTGTAAGTATCACAATCAGATTCTTTCTCAGTAGCAAAGGAGAGAAGACAGCTTTCACACAAGTTTCTTATGTCGGAAAGCTTTTTGTGAGCATGACAGAATGCAAGAGATGAAACATTCTTCTTATGTTGGTTACAGATGGAATCATTGTAATAGAAATTAGCATTTCTCTGGACAAGGATACGATCAATCCTGGTACAAAGGAAGCAAGGGATAGGCAACTCGAAGAACAGGGCAAATTCGTTTGCGAAAAATGCAAGAAATCCGTCAATGAACAGAACAAATATCATCATCCATTCAAGTACAGCATAAATAAAAAACTTGGGGACTTCTCCAAGTTCTTGTTCTACAAACTCCTTAAATGATCGTTTTGCCATCTCTTAAAATGTTGAAAATACAAAGAAACAAAAGCCCTTTTGGGATTGATAAATTGAGGATTGAACTGAAGATCACATTAATGTGCTCAAAGGGTGGTGAGACGGAGGATCATGACCCGGTAGCATTTAGCAAACCAAGATCATGACCTCTCTCTTGTTTGTGTACGAGGAAGGAGAGGAGAGAGAAGAAAATGGAGGTTATGTTGAGTTTAAGGATTCAAATTTTGGGTGGTGAGTTTCCTTTGGCTATAAAATGAGAGAATGTTTACGAGAAAATTGAGGTTCTTAGGACAACTTTGGACCTGAAAAAAGGGTTTATCATGCGCTGCCCAACCACTTGTACCAATGCTAAACCACATTGCTTTTTAGCTTGTTTAATATAGATTTAGTGTGGAATAAGATTCATACTTAGCTTAATTTATGGCCTCCTAGATATAAATTTACCATTTTTTGCTAGGGACAGAAATCATCAATTAATGCTAAAAAAAGGGAAGAATGTTTATAGGTAGATATTTATGGGACATAAATTAATATATATATATATATATATGTATATGAAACAGATCAACTTATATAATGTAAAATTAAAAAAATTTTGATTTTAATAAATTAAAAAAATGAGAGAGACAAGTAAAAATAAGAAAAAATAGTTTGATTTATTCTTTGAATTTATTGAAATTAACAATTAAACAAATATATAAAACTAAAAAAATTTTATATTATATAAGTCGATCCCTTCATATATATATAATTAATTTAGAATTTTACTAAGGTGATTTATATAATTACTCTTAAAAAGTAATATTTAAAAACTTTTTAAAATTTAAATTATAGCACCTATAATCCTTCCTTTTTTGACTTTTTATGTAAAAAAATAAATAAAATTTTTAAATTTAAATTTGAAACAACCACATCCAATATAGGATTACTTCTTTTGATCAATTACAATTTTTAGGGAAGAGGATATTTAAAAGCTACATTAACAATGTAAAGAGTAAATAATAATCATATGTGCTTTGTTGTAGGTTCAAATTTTTTTTTGGTAGTTAATAATATTAAATTAATAAATTAGTGCAAAATTTTGTTCATAATTTTTTAATAAAGTAATGATTAGTGAAATTTATCAATTAATTTATGAATAATATATGTATTTCAATCTCATAACCTGAATAACAAGTTAAAACAAATCCATTCTTTTAAACGTATTTTTCTAAACATAATTAAACATATGAAAATAATATTTTAAAAATTAAAACTAAATAAAAAAATGCCCAAGAAAAAACAAAAAAAAAAGAAGAAGAAGAAAGGAACCAAATAGAGATGTCATGTGAACACCTATACTTAAGGATAATAATAGATCGAGTAAGAATGAGTTTAGGGATGTCAATGGTTAGGGTATAGGGCGGGTAGAGTATTCTTCATCTTTATTCCAAGAATTTTATATTATACCCATATCTAATGGATATTTCAAATTTATCGTCTGCAGGTATTTAATGAGTATGAGTGATCTAATTCCCATATTCATAGCTTTTTGAAAATAAAAATAAAAATAAAATTTTAATTTTTTAATTTTTTTTAATTATATTTAAGTAATTTTTTATTAATATATATTTTTCAATAAAAATATATTACTTCTAATTAATCTAAAATAATAATTTATATTATTTAGTAAAAACATATTTACTAATTATATATAAACATATATGCAGGGTACGGATACAAAACGGATTTTATATTATCTGTTCTAATACCTGTACTAATAAAAATTTAAAATCATACCCATTTCTATCCCATACCGATAATATAATATCAATTCTCATCCCCATTCAGGTAAAAAATTGAATTCCTCGTTAAGTATGGGAAAAATTGAGATCTTTAGGCAAATTTATATTCATTCTAAATCCGACCCGATATTAAATTATTATTTTTTACACCCAATCTCGACTCGAAATATATATGAGACTTGACTAAGAGTCAATTCAATAGTATAACATTCATAAAATATATGTTAAATTATGCAATTAGTCTCTATACTTATATAAAATTTGAACTTTAGTCTTTATATAATAATTTACAAAATTTCTATCATTATACTCATTTAATTTAACGATGTTAGTCCAATTGATAGCAGTATTACTTGATCTCTATTAAATTAGCTGACGTGGCCATTGACCTTGTTAACATGGCGATGACTTTAATGACGCGGCATTAACTTACTGATATGATAATTGAGATTGAAGAAATCAGTTGTTAAATTATATAAATGGTCCATATACTCATACGAAATTTGAAATTTAGTCCATATAGTTTAAAATTAAATTATATAATAAAAATATTAGTTTTTATTATATAAAATTAATTATTAATAATGTTATTATTATCATTGATATTAATCAATTATAATATTAATAGTTTAAATTAACATATCAAAGTTAATATTATTTTAATTAGTATAAATATATCATATAACAAAATTTATAATAAACTAAACTATTGAACAGAGTTATATTTGTAATGAATATTCTGAAATAGACCATGAATGAAATGATCATTTCATCTAACTAAACAAAATAAAAAATTCAAATCTACATTCTTACAAAGGACCGGCTCTTATCCATTTAAAGGATGTACTTTGAATCGTAACAAAACAAAAAGATGAAATGATTTATTTCATAAGTCGAAATATCAATATCGTGTATTATAATAAGAACTTTTAATTTTTTAGGTCTTAAAAAAAAGCTTATTTAAATAATTATGTTAAATTAAATAATAAGATTAATTTTAAAACTAATACACATTAAGTTTAGTAAATTACTTTAATGTGTTTAGAATCTTGAACCCATATTTGATTATAAAAAATCATTTACATAGAGTTTAATTTAAAGAAATAGAAACATTATTTTATAGATAATTTTATCCTTATGAGATGTAATTATAATTCTAATTCATTAGATAAATTAATAAAAAATTATAGTTTTATTAATATTATATAGTGACAAATTTATATCTTATATTAACAAATTTGTGATAGATTTTTAATAAATTGGTTTAAAATTTTTTTATATAGTCATAATATGCTACAATTGTGACAGAAAAATATGACAAAATTTGTAAGAGATTTATATTTTATGACAAAATATAACAAAAAATAGTGACAGAATTAGTAATAGTATTTCACATGGATGACAAAAAATTACAATAGATTTATTGACAATATATGAAAATTGTGAATAAATATTGTAATAAAAATTTCCATATTGTGATACAATAATATGAGAGAATATTGTAGTAATTTTTAAAATTTAATGTTTTAAAAAACTAGAAAATTTTTAAAAATTCAAAATACTTTTTATTTTAGAGAGACTAAATTTCAAATTTCGTGCAAGTACATGGACTAAATTTTAAATTTTGTGCAAGTATAGGGACTAAATTTCAAATTTTGTATTAGCACAGAGATCATTTGCATAATTTAATAATTGATTTCATAAATTTCAATTGACCATTAATAAGTCAATGCTATGTCGTTAAAGTCAACACTATGTCAGCATGGTCAACAATTACATCAACTAATTTAATGGAAATCAAATAACACTATTATCAATTAGACCAACATTGTTAAATTAAAGGGTTAAATACATATTATGTCGCTAAACTTTCAAATTTTGGTCACATTGGTACCTAAAAAAATTTTTTTTGTCACATTGGTACTTGAACTTTAACTCTATAAGTCATTTTATCCCAAAAGTTAACTCCATTAAAAAAAAAAAAAAGGAAGATGTGTTTTAAATGACTAATCAAATAACATTGGTTATCAACAAAATTTCATGTCCTTAATTGTATTTTTTTTTTTCACGTCATGATATATTGGCCACATCAGATATCAACTTAAAATAAAAAAAATTAACATTTTATTTTTTAACCGAGATAAAAAAAATTAAAGAAGTTAATTTCTCTGAAAGTTTTAAAAAAAGAAAAAGAATAAATAGTTGACAAAAACAAAGAAGGCTTATAGTGTGGGTATTTAAGGTTTGAAATTATGTGACTTTTTTTAGGTATTTAATGAAACTGCTTCAATCTTTCCATTCTTTCTTTGGTCCTCTTCAAATGGCAAAGAGTAAATCTACCTCAAGTTTAAAATCAACAAATCATTCGAGAATTTTTTTTTTTTTGTCATTGTCAATTAAAGGCTCCAATTTGCCCTTCTACCACTTTTTTGAATAAAAGGAAGAAATTTTATGGCTGTCCAAAATATAAAGAGATATGTAACAATATTGGAAAATTAATTGGGTTTTGAGTTTGGGTTGATATTGAAATCATCTCCTCTAAAATTTGCAGTCAAATGTCTCAACTTCTAAATCAATTTCTCACTTTATGAGTCAATTCTAATGTTTTCATTTTCAAACTTTTAACTTAACCTTTCACTAATCTAAACCCCTAATTTCAAAGACCCATTAATTGTCCTAAACATAAAACCTTCAATCGACTGCACTTTTTGAATTGATTGTCATAAACCTCTAATATCAAAGACCAATCGATTTCCTTAAATATAAAACCCTTAATTGATTGCACTTTTCTGAATTGATTGCCCTAAATACCATACTCCAATCACACAAAACCCCTTAATCAATTAAACTTTTTTTAGAGAAAAAGCAGCTTCTTCAATTTTTTTTTTTATCTTAGTTAAAAAATAAGTGTTAATTTTTTTTTATTTTATGGTTGATATCTAATGTGGTTTTTGAATGATGTGGAAAAAAATCATGTTGAAGATGTGAAATTTTGGATGATAGTTGACATTATTTGATTAGCCATTTAAAATATATCAATTTTTTTTAACAAAGCTAAATTTGAGGGTAATTGAGTTATGGAAGTAAAGTTCAAGTATCAATTTGACAAAAATATATTTTAGGTACCAATGTGACCAAAATTTGAAAGTTCAAGGGCCAAATATTTATTTAACCTTAAATTAAACTAATATGAGGATCTAATTTTTGCAAATTATTGTATAAGGACTAAAATTTAAATTCATACAAGTATAGATACTAATTGCATAATTCGACCTAAAATATAAATATTTAATATAAATTACATCTTAATTATATCAATATAATATTTTATTAAATTAATGTATTAAATAATAATTTATTAATATAATATATAAAAATAAAACTAAATAAATAATAAAAATATTTTTATTTATACGTCGAGTCGGAGTGAGATGGGGTAGGATAACACATCCTAAACTTGTCTCATATTTGAGCGTGATTTAAAAAAAAAAACAAGTCACTTTACCTTGACCAGATAGTAATTTAAAAAATAATCTTTATTGCATCGGTAGGTCAAAACCTTCAAATATGAATTGTTTTGACATCTTTTATCTCTATTGATTTCAACCTAAGTTTAAATTAGAAATAAACCTCAACTTACATCCAGATTTTTAAAAAAGTCATACATATTGAATTATAGTGAATTAAAACTTATTAGATATGAGTTATTTTTTTTTTATTGATTTTTTTTACAAAATTTATTTAATTAAAAAAGTTTAAAACTTTAAAATTTGATAAAAAAAAGCTAAATAAAATGCCATGTGAATTTTTTAAATTAAAGTATTAAATAATAATTTTATTAATATAATACATTTATAAATATAAAATAAAAAAATAAAAAAAAATTTTATATATACCATAAGCAAAATCAATCATCCTAAACCCATCTTAAAATCGACTTCAATTTTTAAAATTAAAATAAAATCTTATTGGAATGAATCAAAATCTACCTCAATTGACTTTTTTAAAAATATTTATCTAATAAAATATAAAATAAAAAAATTAAATAAAAAAGAAAAAATACGTAATTTGAAAGGGAGGTTAGTGCCACGTGATAACTTACCTTTCTCCAAGCTCTACAAAATTAATATTACGGCGATGGACGATGATTTATATCCCGCATTGACAATCTGTTTATGGGACCAAAATCAGAAACCAAACCCATTAATCATCATCCACGTGTCTACTGACGCGCCAATAAAGAGGATAATAACTCGCCAAAATCTTTCAGCCATCGCATTGGCAGATTAGACGGCAAAACCTTAGTCCCTTCTCCATCATTACCAATCGGAGCTCCACACCCCCCCGCGGAATTCACTGAGCGGCGCCAAAAACCATCCCAAAATTTCATTAGAAAAAGAAATAAAAACTCAAATACAAAAAAAAAAAGAAAAAAGAAGAACTAAGGCAATCAGGAAAAATCAAATCAAATGGAATCTCTAAAGAACAGAATGGAAAAGAAAGAGAGCTCGGTTAGGTTTTTTCTTTATTTCTGCTAGTGTACAGTTGAATTTTGAAATCGAAAAGAGAAGGAAAAGTGCAAAGCATGGAGTTACAGAACACTGTGAAAGAAGCCCCAAACGCACTGTACCATCACCCCGACGATGCGGTGCGTATGCAAGCCGATCGATGGTTGCAGGATTTTCACCGCACCGTCGATGCTTGGTGGCGATTCTCTTCTTATTTTCTTCTTTTTGAGCTTTTTCGATCGATTTGTGCAAATAAAGTTGTGTTTGGATAGGACTCATTCCTTTGTTATTTCAGAATGCTCGCGAATTAACAGTTTACATTGATCGATTTGCATGTATCTTTCGGTAAGATAAATGTTCCCTCCCCTCCCATGCCCTTTTTATTTTCATTGTTTCTGTTGGTCTATTGAGGTTTTTTCCCCATGCAACTGGAACCAATTCTACTGGAGCAGTCGCAGATGCAATTGACAGGCTATGGCCGATATTCAAAGCCATATTTGATCTGTAAGTATTGAACAGCTTCCTGAATGGGTCATCACTATGTCAGCGTTCCTAGGCTTCTGATTTTTATCTGATTTGTTCTTTAAATGCTTCTGATGCAGTCGGGCTTGAGACATGCGGACCATGGAGTCTCTTTGCCGTGCTTGCAATTATGCTGTGAGTCTGCTGAGCTATTTCAGTGTTGCTGGGTTGGCTCAGAAAAATGGATTTTTAATGACCAAGTTTAAAAATTTGATTGTCAATCAAGATTCTGCCACACACATCTTAGATACAAATTTGGCATTCTCCAATCAACATGCATGTTATGTTATGCCTTACTTCTCTGGCCGCTTGCGTTGCATGAATAGATTGCAGTGATACTATTAATTCTGAAGGATTATGTTACAAATCATTTTCCGTAATTATATAATTATATTCACAGAATATGATTGTTGAATTGGTCTACCATTGTACTTAAAACTAGTGGTTTTTTAATTTTTAGGTGAATTAAATCTGTTCTATTTGATCTTTTTGTAGTTTTACTTCTCTTAAATTGATTTTCTACTCTTTTATTACTTGTATTTAGCTGTCTCAAATCGTAACCTATGCATTTCTAGAGGACGTTACTTGGATGGCTCCAGAGAGTTGTTAAATTAGTTGTGTAATTACTATCTTGAAGACTAAGTCAAGTGGAATTTTAGTCCTTACTCTGTAAGGGTAGTTGCTATAATTATGTTATTCAGGTGCATTCATAGCTGAGCCGTGGGTTTTGTCCAGAGGTAGATTTACCTTACAAGCTCTGGGATCAAATCCAATGATTCCTGTCTACTCCTGGGTTTATCCCCCATGGCCTGGCATTGAAAAAAAAAAAGAAAGTGAATGAATTTCTTATTAACAGTCACCTGTCTGAAAATAATTAGCATTACTAGGCAGTGGCAATGATCTCAAAATTTTCTTTATTAGGTGAGAGCTTCCGGAAGGTTTATGGGAATTACAATTGGAGCAATGATTGAAGAAATTCAAGGCCTGTATCAACAACAACACCAGCCATGCTTCCTTTATCTCTCTAGTGAAGTTATAAAGGTACATTTTTTTCTTTGTTAATATTGCTAATTTTACTTTTATTTTCATTTTGATTAAAATGTTAAGTCAGTGCCACTTGTGCTGCAGATTTTTGGCTCGGATGCTTCTTGTGCATGCTACCTATTGTGCATGCTACCTAAAAAATATGATTGAAGTGCTCTCCAAGCACACAACATGTCTTCTTACAAGTATTAAGGCATGTTTTTGATGAGTGGTGTATTTTTTTCTATTATTGAAATCTCTGAATATGTCAAATTATATATATTTTGTTGCTACAGGAATTCACTACAAGACCGGACGGTGCGGATGATTGCTTTCTGTTGGCATCAAGGTGCATTCATTATTGTCCTCAATCATTCATTTCTTCTGCTGTATTTCCAGCTTTAGTAGATTGCTTGATGATTGGGATCACAGTACAGTACAGCACAGGTATGGCTTCATTCTTTCTCCCTGCTTGTTTTTATTGCATGAACTTGTTTGTTGGTTTGTTTGTGCATGCGTACATGTCTGTGGCTGTGCACACACACATGGTACATCCTTCTTATAAGTCACTTGTTGCTCTCATCACTGTATTAGCCTATAACCAAAAGGTTCTTAAGGTATGTGCTTACTGCTGTCTGACTCAAATTGAAATTCTTTTGATTTGGCATGATTTTTCAAGAGAAATCATCGACTTTTGGATATTTATATTGACATTCTGAACCTTACTCAAATATTGAAGACTTGAAGTTTAGTTGTTCTTTTAATGAAAAGAAAATGTAAAATTATCTTTAAAAATGGTACTGGGAAGGGGGATAAATGGGATTTTAAGATGTTTGAAGAAGGAAAGAAGACATTCTATTAGAATGTCCCAAATGAGATGACATTCACTTATTGTTGAAGGTAATATATGATTTTGTTATACATGTTTTAGAAATTTATTGTTTCACTGTATTTTATTTGCAGAGAGGCCTCCAGTTCTGTTTTGACCTTCTTGTCTGATATGTATGATCTTGCAAAGTCTAGGAAGAGTGAATAATTTTTATCCATCAGGTATAGTGTCATTATTCCACAAGGTGCTACTATTACTAGAGTTTTGGTAGCAGCCCTAACTGGAGCACTCCCAAGTTTTCGATTATAAATGGTAGCTTCTGCTGCTTTGTTGTATTCTTCATCTATTGTGCACATTGACATTGATGCAGTAACGATTAGTAGAATTAGTTTGAACTTATTGCCTTTAATTTCTAACATGATGAATTCATCAGCCTTTTGCTACTTCAGGTAGCATATGCTCTTCTAGCAATGACTTGAGCATATGGGATTCAAGCTCCGGAGTGGGCTAAGGAAAGTGTTTAATTGATCCCATTGACTGCTGTCAAAGAGGTGGAGCGGTCAAGATATTTGAAAGCATTGTGAGACGCTGCTTCTGGGACTGATATTAATGTCCTTATGGCCGCAGTTGAAAGAGTTATCTGATGTTTGTCATCGTAATCAAACAGCTCAAGAGATTGTTCAGGGATCATTAAAGCCACTTGAGTTGAATCTGGTACCTGTAACATAGTGGAAAGAAATAAAGAAATATTGGAGCGGTTGTTTTGCTGAGGCCAAAGGAATTACTTGATCCTGTATTTGCTGTTTTTATTCATGCTTCATTATGTATCAATCATCATTAGTCAATTTTGCATGTGTTTTTTATGGCCGTGTTTGGCATTTCTTTTATTTACACTAGGGAGAGATTGGGTTGTTGTATCTTCCGCTACAGATATGGATTCCAAGTCATCTCGAATGCATTGTCTTCAAATTTTTGGGTGAAAAATTCTTGGTAAGTTTATAATGGGAAAATATCTTGAAGTTGTTTCCCGTAACAAGAATCAAGATGAATTGTTTCTGCATGTTGCTCTCTATAAGGATTACTACATGCATTGCACTCAATGACAGAGTGTTCTTTTTGGTTTTTAAATTTAGCCAACGCTTGTCATGCCTTTTGGCTGTCGAGATCTCGCAGCTTGAATATTCTTTGCTCAGAAATGCTGCTGCAAATAAACCATGCAGAGTGAAGAATTTTTTTGAGCATCTTTAGATGAGAGCATAGCTCTTTAAAAATAAACTATTCTTAGTAGTAGCAGCTCTCATCGCCAAAGATTTCAGGATGTAGTAGTTTCTATTCTCGATAGCAAAGCAGCAATTTTACCTGCAGAAAAGAGGAGGCATTTACGCAGACCATTCTCCTGTTAAAAACATTAAAACCATAGGTAAGGACTTTTGCATGTATTCAATATCTGTAAAAGAATCAATATTTTTACTTCTCAACTTGTATGAAAATTCTAAATTTTAAATAAATTTAATAATTTTTATACACGTGTCGAATTTTGTTTACATTAAATATTTATAAAATAAAAAAACTATTATAACATAATTCGTATTTGTATAAATAATATAAAATATATATTTTATTTTTATTAAAATTTTAAATTATGTCTTTTTTTTATATATATTTAAAATTATTAAATCAATTTCTACAATTTGGCGAGTGTTCCTTACGATCAGAGGCGCGCGTTTTCTAAAATCATACATCCCCCAATTATTGCCACATCCATCTAACATCTCCCTCTCTTTCCATTGATCTTCAACTACTCCTCCTTTTATGTGATCTCTTCTCTCCTCTCCTTTCCTCTCCTCTCTACTCTCGGCTCCTTTTGGTCTCTCCCTCTCTTCTGCTTCTTCTTCTTAAAATGTAATCTTTGTTCTTCTCAGCCTGCCTTCTTTGGCTGGCCTTTTTCTTTTCTTTAGACTCTAAACCAAATCAAATAAAAACTCCCCATGTTTTTATTCTTCCTTGTTTCTTTTCTTCTAACAATTTACAGTAACAAATAACAGTGGCAAAGATGATATCAACTTCTTCATCTCAAAAGAAAAACCTTCAATCTCTTTTAGCCACCAATCTCAAGAAACTCACTATAACTCCACCTTCTTCCAATCATGACTTTGACTTTTCCGAGGTTTTTGGCCCTTTGACTCCTCACCATCACCCCAACCCCATCCCATCGCCATCCTCCACTTCATCCCCATCTGCTTTTCTAGGGGACCCTCAAATTATCCACACCAGGTCCCACTCTTACGTGGGCCCTTCTCCTCGTTACACCCTCGCTTCTTCCCTCCCTTTCCATATCCAAGAAATCCAGGAAGCTGAAACTGAAACCGAAAATGAAGAAGCTGAAGCTGACGTTGAAAAAGCAAACACCAAGATTGGGCCGGAGGATTTTGAGATTTTGAGAGTAGTTGGAAAAGGAGCTTTTGGGAAAGTTTTTCAAGTGAGGAAAAAAGGAAGGAATGATGAGGAAGGTGAAAGTGAAACTGAAGGTGATGGGATTTTTGGTATGAAAGTTATGAGGAAAGATACAATCATTAAAAAGAACCATGTCGATTACATGAAAGCTGAGAGAGATATCCTCACTAAAGTTGTTCATCCCTTTATTGTTCAGCTTAGATACTCCTTCCAGGTTTAATTTCCTTTCTCTTTATTTTCATCTTTTTATAAATTTTGACCCTTTTATTTCTTTCTTTCTTCTATTTTAACTGCAATTGAATGATTTGAATGTGAAATATTTATCTTGTTCTGATATAATTTAGACATGGTATATTTGGTGAAGCCTGAAATATAACTAAGGATACTACTTTTGTCATTAACTGGACCGTACCTTCTATAAAAATGGTCAAAAGATGTAAAAGCTTTTTCTTTTCTTTTGAAAAAGAAAAAGGCTTGCTGGAATTGATAGATATGGTCTTTTATGATTCAGCAATTTGTCTGTTTGAACTATTTATATGAGGCCTTAGCAATTAATGTTTCAACAAAGATTTTGATTTTTTTTTTTAGTTCACTTCCATAATAGCTTCTCTCTTGGAGCATACACTATGTCAATACTCACTGTTCTTTTTTTCTGCAGACAAAGTCTAAGCTTTATTTGATCCTTGATTTTATAAATGGAGGTCATCTCTTCTTTCACCTTTACCGCCAGGGGATATTCAGGTATCCTGTGTTTAAAGGTCAGAAATTCAATTAATTGCCTGTTTGCTACTTTTAATTTTCGCTTTTACCTTTCTCTTGAATAGCGAGGATCAGGCAAGGTTTTATACTGCTGAGATTGTATCTGCTGTTTCACACCTGCACAAGTGTGGAATCGTGCATCGAGATCTTAAACCCGAAAACATTCTCGTGGATGCTGATGGACATGTAATGGCAATGCTCATGCTCTCAATTTTTGTTGCAGGACCATGCTTGAAAGTCAAATATACCTCTGCCCTTATTCTTATGTTGATTGAGCATTCCTAATTCCTGAATTTGGCGGTTGTCTCAGGTTATGCTCACTGATTTTGGACTGGCCAAGGAAATTGACGAATCAAGCAGATCAAATTCAATGTGTGGGACCACAGAGTACATGGCTCCAGAAATTTTACAGTCCAAAGGTCACAATAAAGATGCAGATTGGTGGAGTATCGGGATACTATTGTATGAAATGCTAACTGGGCAGGTAATATACAGAAATTTTCAATATGTAAAAACTTTTCAAAATTTACAAGCTATAAGTTCAAACTTAGTGAATATGAACAATGATAGACTGCTGATTAGCCTGCTCTGGTTCAATTCTCATCATTCTTTTTGGAATGATTCTAGAAATATTTGATCTTATTGTTGAGTTTATTAAAAAATGAAGGTTTCAGTTATTGGGGAAAAAGTAGAGTTTACCAATGTGATAGGCTCCTATGTATTTATATTAGAACATTAAGTATTACAAATATCTGGAGCATATCTGTTATTTGTACCCAGCTTGTTACAAAAATATCTTACTCTAGAACCAGGTAAAGATTTTGTAAACAATTATGCTAGATGGTCCATATATCTCAGTGACTGTGTACAAATCACATTTTGCTTAAGTTTGTCTCGAACTAGATGACAGCCCACCTCAACATGTTTAGTTCTTACATGAAACACAGGAGTTGAGGCTATATGAAAAGCTGCTTGATTATCACAAAATTAGACGCATACGCTCTTGTTGCTTGAAACCAAGTTCTTCCATCATATGCTTCAACCAAACCATTTTACAAGTAGTATTTGCCATGGCTCCATACTCATATTTAGCACTTGATTTTGCAACCACTGGCTGTCTCTTACTCTTCCAATACACTAAGTTACTTCCAACAAAAACACAATTACCAGTGGTAGATCTCCTATCGTTCAAAGATCCAGCCCAACATGCATTAGTGTAACCTTCATCATGAAGATGACCATGGTTTTTATAAAGTAGGTTAAGACTTGAAGCACCCTTGAGAATTAGGGTTTGAGAATTAGAAATTTGCCAATAAGAATATATGGCTATGATACCATGCTATTGGGGAAAAAGTAGAGTCTACAATGTGGTGGCCTATTATGTATTTATAATGGAACATTAAGTATTGCAAATGACTAATATATCCTTTAACCTAAATACTTAACTGTTTTTTAAATTATAATCTCTTGGAACTAATAGGAACTAAGGATGGGAATACATGGATTTAACTCACTGACTCATCATCAAGCCTATTCTCCTTCAGAACACTCAAGGTCATAAAAGGCAGGTCTTGTTGCATGTTGGCTTTTTAACCATGTTGGAATATCAAACAAGAAACTAAAGAATCAGGAGATTGCTAGGACAATTTTTTTTTTCCCTAGATTGCCAGATTACTTGAAAGCTAATATAACTGAGCTCCTAGTTTTGTTGAATGGACCAGCTTGAGGTGTATGTTTCTGATTTACTATTCAGTTGTGCATATCTCACTACCTGCTATTTTCAATACTAGGTATATTGTGAAGTGTCTGTAGTCCATAGATTTTGACAGTAATTACATGTGTTTTGTGAAATTTCTGTATTTTTTATTATACATATTTCTTATGTATTATTGCTTAAGTCATTTCCTTGGAGAGAAGAAAAAGAAAAAATCTCTTGTCCAGTTGGGACACTGTCATCTTGAATTACTACTTCTTGACTTTTTCATCCATAAATAATATATGGTTCCCCTTCTTGTAGCCTCCTTTTACACATGCAAATAGGCAGAAGCTTCAGCAAAGAATTATCCAAGAGAAAGTCAAACTTCCACCATTCCTTAGTACTGAAGCTCACTCTTTACTCAAAGGGGTAAGTATATCTTTTAGTATGGTTGTATTCCTCATTTTAATCCTTTTACAAAGTTGCAAATGATGCAAATCTCCTTCCAACTTTGCAGTTGCTGCAGAAGGAACCATCAAGAAGGTTGGGCAGTGGGCCTAGTGGAGGGGATGAGATAAAGAAACATAAATGGTTTCGGTCAATAAACTGGAAGAAATTAGAAGCTAGAGAAATCCAGCCTAAGTTCAAACCAGATGTGAGTGGGAAGGACTGTACAGCCAACTTTGACCAGTGCTGGACGACAATGCCTGCAGATGACTCACCAGCCCCAACACCAACAGCAGGTGAACATTTTGAGGGGTACACTTACGTGGCACCTAATCCTTGGCTTTCTTCCTAGTAAATTGGAGAGCTCAAAATCACAGAGTTCTGCCTATATATTACCATGACACCTCCTGTAAATCTAATGTTTACAATGGAGAAATAAGAAATAAAAATTTGCTTGAATTGATCTTCATTCTCTTATGTAAATACATCGTCTGTTTGATTGCTGACATTATGTTAAAAACTCAATAAATTGTAGATGTTTTCATTCACCATATACAATAGAAACTTTTTAGGCTTTATCCAATCATGATTGATCCCCCTGTTTAAGTTTTTGAGCTGATTCTCTCTTGAATTCATCACTCTAACATGAATATATTTTGTGCCAAGTGCTTGTCTTCGATTGCTAGGTCACATAAATACTAACTAAAAAGAATGTGAGTTGGCCAAAATAATTAGAAGCATTAAACACAGAAAAACATTCAACTTGCAAAAATAACAAATTGGTATTAAAAATTAAAAGAAAAAAAAAATAAAGTTTAATGATAAAAGATCCATGGAAACCTTAGGAATTTAAACTTAGTTCATAATGAAATGAACAAAAACTAATAAGAAAATTATATTTGAAACAGAAAGGAAAAAGAAATAAAAGCATAAGTAGAAACCCTAAATTCTATTATTTCAACTTTTATCTTTCCCTCTCTTTTGATTTTCACTCAAATCAGAATTTGAAATTATCAATTTTTTTATGAACTCATATCTTTTAATACGTAAAAAAATTAAGTGATTTCATTTGATAATATTTTGATAATGAAAAATTAAATGTAAAAAACGTTGCAAATAGAACGTCCTTTAAAGCTAAATCATGTTTATTCTCCTCTAGTAATGTCAAGAACTTTCTCAAATCTGAAGTGTGTTATGGCTGGCTTGAGAGAAATCAGATTCTGTCTTAAAATTCCTTATAAAAGTGATGAAGGTGACTCCAAAAAAGTGAAAAAAAAATGTAATATAATAATAAACAGAAGCACTCAGAAGAAGGAGTTTAGAGAAGAATCTCATTCCATATGACTTTATATTTACTTGAAACAAGCAAGATTCTGAATGCTATCCATAATGCTTGATTGTGGATAGCACGTTTCTATGTACTTGTCTTGTGTTGAACAAGATTTTAAAAAGGATTGGTGGCAATTTAGAATCAAACCAAATCTTTCACGTGAATTATGTTAATCAATTATGATAAAGATTTGCCAAGAATCAGTTATAAGTGATCCAAACTCAATGAAATATATATCATTATCAAGTAATGAACCCGGAAATTAACTAAATTGTTTATGTGATCACATAACATTCAATAGTTATAAATTTAAATCCTAACACCAGTAATTCTTTATCTTATTCTCGTGCGACCTCTTTTATAAAATAAAATAAATAACTATCAGGCAATGTGAACAACACATGCTGCATTTAGAGAGGTTGGGAGAAGAGATTCGTACCAGACACTAGTTACCCACTCACTTAATGGCCTCTGGAAAAGGACTTATTGCCGTGGAATGAGAAAGGGATCCACCGAGAGAAAGTTTAATTCATATTTCCATGGCTATAACATAGAGTTAGACGAACCCAAGTAATGAACATGCTGACATATTCTTTCAAATTGCTTGGAAAACACGTTTCATAAGGCCTTTATATATATATATATACACACACACACACTGTTCGTTAGCTCATCTTTAATCATGTATCTAAATGCGAAAAACTTGAAAAAGATGATTGAGGAAAGAAATGATAAGTCTCTTTGTGAGAAATCAATGAAGATGGTGGTGAACATCATTAAGCTTTCATCATTTTCTATTGCCAAGATGAGTCTTGGAGCTACCGCACATCCAACAGCAAGCAAAAACCTCACACCTGCAATAGATTCTGATATGGTTACTGATGAACTGCTGCAGCCTCAATTTTCTGGGAGCCAAATGTCAAAAGAGCGGCAGAGTAGCTCGAAGCCTTATTCATTCGTGATGCAGCCAGGCCGACGAAATGAATCTCTCATGGTTCATGAAGAGAAAAGAGACAGTGATGGCATTTTTGATGCCTATATAAGGAAGGTACATGAGAAGAACCGAAGCAATTTGCATGAAGCATCAAAGCTTTCTCCCTACATACTGCCACCTCCACCCACACCGTTACGTAGAAAGAAGTAACCATATTCATATATATATATATATATATATCCCATCTCTACTACTGAATTTCAGTTTCTAGTTTTTATCTGCTGCGCAGTATAAAGCATAAATAAGATATTACTCTATTTTGCTTTCTTGAACATGTTAGTTATTTTCCTTTTGCTTTTTGTAATGTTATCTGAAGTCCTGATTATCTTTGCCTATAATTTATGATTCCTTCACATCTTTTTCAGATTGTTTGGTATAATTTAGAATCTAACAACTTGACTCATGTCCCCTGGTAATGGTATGATGGAAACAAAATAGATGCAAAATATATCATATTTGGTCTGCTGCTGCTCTATTTTGTAAATGATTTGTGCCTGAATTGACTTGTCTTGATCCATTCATCTTTCATATCACTAATAGCTGAAAAACCAAAGCATTCTCGATTTAGTTTAGTCAAGTTGGTTCATGCAACCACCTCTAAGATGTAGCATCCAATAAGTTTGGAGTTCAACCTCATCCTCTGTAATCCCTTTTCTTATCCCAAGCTATAGCCTCTTGGTACCAAAAAAGCATCCTCGGAGTAGGGTTACTGATAATCATTTTACTAATGTAATGTCTGCCTGCCCTGCAGTGTGTTTCAGAATGATTTTGTTTTGTACAATTAAAAGTGAATTAATTGGGCGTTTCTTTTAGCTAAATTTAGATGCAAAGACATGAAGAATCTGGAGATTCCATCCAATATCTCTTCTATGAGTGTACAAATGGTTTCAAATATTTTATCAACGAATCAGATTTCCAACATCTTTTTTTTTTTTTTTTATCTAAGATGTTGCGGAAGATAATATAAACTAATTTTCCTTTTGAATCAATAATTGATTATGGAAACAGCTTAATTCTTAAAACCAAATCAAGCTGTATCCCCTTACACAGCCAAATCTGCATAATGGATATGTCAGGGTACCAAAAAAATGTTGCAGTAATTCCCTTTTCTTAATAAACTCAAAATCTTAATCTTTCTTAGTCCGAAGTTTAACTAAGTTGATTTATATAATCACTTTTAATAATAGACATCCATAAAATTTAGAGTTTGAATTCCAGCATTTATAACCTTTTTCCTTATTCCTAATCTATGGCCTCTTTTGAAAAAAAAAATCTTGATCTTTCTCTCTTAAAATCAAACATTAGATAGCAAAGTAGAAGATACAGAGGGGACTCGGGGAATAAAAACTCATCCATTCAAGACTCTAGTGTGAGTTGGTAAAGTAGAAAGGGAAAAAAGCTGAGAGTGTGACAAATGAATAAAATGTTTGGTATTATCTCACATATGTTATTTATCTAAATTTTTGTGATTTTATATTTAAGTTGAGCTACTATACTTATTATCAATTGACTTTAGATTTGATACTTAACATGGTATCAAGCTCAAATTGTATTTCGTTGTTCTTGTCTCCTTTCAAAGTTTATCAATCGATAAACTTCTCTTTTATTTTTATTTATATGTGATAAGAGTTTATTAAAATAATATTATTTCATACATTAAATATTTGATTTTTTATGATTTTATAGTCAAGTAAAATTTTTTCATCTATTGTCAATTAATTCTAAATTAGATATTTAACATAAACTATGATTTTATATTTAAGTTAGATCTCTTCATCTATTATTAATTAATATTATATTAAATATTAATTTTAAATTAATTGCTTAACGTGGTCAAAAGAACAAGGAGAATCTCTTTGTAAGTTTTTTTTGCTTAATAATTACCTCCTTAATCCTGTGAGCTCCAAAGTGGCAGATTAAGAAACTTGGAAACCCATACTCCATGATTAAGCAATGTTTTTCAAAAGGTGTGGCATAAAGTGTTCTTTCTGGAATATTTTTTTCGTTGTGAAATGGGCCATTCATCTTAATAGGAACCTTTTATGTTTCGTATCATTGAAAAAATTTGTTTTCAAAATTGCTTAATGTTTAGAGTGGTGGCTTTCCAGGTTGTTCGAAAAATGACCACAAATATCCAAATTAAGGTCCAAATCAAGGGCTAAATTAATTAAAATTGGTTAATTAGTAATTAATTAATCAATTAAAAAAGTAGATTACAATTGAAACCCAATGCAATTAAGGGCCCAACATCTTGGTTAATACGATAGTATGGGAGAAAAAAATCCATAATTACATGGACTGAACCCAAGTAAGGAAGCCTAGAGAGTTCAAATGGTGGGGCAAGGCCTCATGACAGTTAGTCTTTTGGCTAGAGAAAATCAAGCAAAGTGATAGTTACTAGGTAGTTACAGGATATTTAGCACCATGAAATGTTACTAAATGGGATGTAATGTTGGAGAAAATTCATTAGTGGAGATATTCGAAATCTTCATTTGAACCCGTTATTAGCATTAAGACAGAGGGATCCAACCTAAAGGCAAAGAATTGAGTACCAGTTAACATGAAAATTCAATCAGCAATTATCTGAAGTGGAAAGTAGCATGCAAGACGGCTATCACACATCATTAAGCACGTGAAGGCAATGAACTAATAATGGACGTTTGTTAGGCTTGATAGTTTTCCTAAATTTTTGGTGTTCTTTAATTTTGTAACTATAAGTATAAGTTTTTAATATATAAAAAGGATTTCAAAAACCGCAATCAACATGAAATTTCATTATCTTACTTTCAACATTTTTATGCTTTATCTTATCTTTACCATTCATTTTTTTTCTTTTAACTTTTCAGGATTAGGCCTAGTTGTAACTTAGCAAATTACCTCAAAATTTCTTTTCTATGACACCTGAACATTGGGCATAAGACTACCCAGCAAACTCTTGTTTTCGCAACTCAGCTGTCTTGAGCTTGAGATTTTCTTGGTTTTGATTACCACTCCATGCATGCTTCATGCTTTGTTGTTGTAGCACAAGCCCGATTACGAACTTTGTCACCTCACGAGGTTGTGCCAGATCTTAACAAAAATATTACTGCCAGGCGCTTTTCCAAGATATCAATCGTTCCTAGTTATTGATCAAAGACTTCACTTGCGTCCTATCTAGGGTTGTTTTTATCTTCTAGCATGGTTCAACCGGAGAGCACCGCATCGTCGGGTAAAAGAATTAAAAAAATGAAAAAGAAGTGACAACAGTTACTTTGGACTAATGTGTAATTTGCTCCCTAAATTATACTACTGTATTTTATAAAATTACTATTAAGTACATAAAACTTCATTCGTATTAAATAAATTGCCTAAGACACAAATTCTTTTAATAGTAAATTAACGTGGTCAAAAAATAATTAATAAAATCATGAAAAATAGCCAAATGCCGCATCAATTTTTAAAATTTTTATATTTTTTGAAATAATAATAATAATAATAATAATAAAAAGAGTTTAAGAGAGGTACAAGGAAGAGAGAAGAGAAAGTAAAGGGGGCTAGAGGAGATGAAAGAGGGGAAGGGAGGGGCCAACGAACGACGAATATGACCGATTGGACGGTAGAATGGGCTGATTGGAAGTCAGATCAAACTGATCTACCTTGCACAAAAGAAGATCAAAGTTGATCTGGCTTTTCTGTTTGTAACGGGAGATAGATTGGGCCGATCTTCCCCTTGACTAGCCATCGCCTCCTTCCCCTCCCTTACCGCTTACCCTTCTCTCTTCTCGATGCCTTTCTCTTTCCCCCAACTGCGATTTCTCTTTTTTAATATTTTTAAATTTTATTTCTAAAAAATTTACTATTTTAATTTTAGTTTTTCAAATTTTTTTATTTTTTAATTTTAAATATAAAAATTTTTTAAAAAATAAAAGTTTACAAAAAGACATTTTTATTTTTAAAAATAATTTAAATAAAAAAAATAATGACACATTTTTATTTATTAATATTTACCTTGTTCGCAACTAACATTGGTAGACAAATCCAAATTTTAATTTTTTTTTACATAAGAAATTGCTACATAAAAATAAAAGAAAACAAATATAATATTTAAATTTTGTATTTTAAATTTATTGAATGTAATTTTTTTAAAATATTTACATAAATTAACTGCATTAAATTTTATATTCTTAAGGTGAAATAAAAATTAAAATATCAAATTCAGATTTTTGTAAGCGTCAAATAGAAAAAAAAAATTATATAATTTAAAAGACACAGAAGTTTTTTGAGGAGAACTAAATCGGATGGAATCATGGAAATTACCTTCAAATTTTCAATGAAGAAAACACTCTTTGAATTAAATTTTTTTTAGACATGAAATTGTTAAAATTTAAACACTAATTAAAATTAAGAATTTATTATTTTACTAACAATGCTCCGGCTTGTTTTTCGAAAACTAAAAGGGCAAAAAGATGTTTCTAAAACTTGCCAAAAATTTTTCTTTTTTTGGTACGAACTTACCAACATTTGTTTCCTCATCCACAACGAAGAAACATCATCAAACCAAATCAACTACAGACTACAGCCAGTCATAGAAATAAAAAAGCTTGTCCGTCCATCTGGGGATAATCCAAGGCAAAATGCATGACAGGACAGCCACCCATTCCTGTCCCAATTAAGGTCCTCCTTCAGTCCTTGAATGCAAAAATCCGCCACAAAATTCACCAACCCTCCGTTTCCTGTCTATATAAATCCACAAGGTCTGCCCCGTATAACCAAACATAGAAATTTACAACAACTATCCACCATCCATTTAATATGGGTTTTATTCAACAATTCAAATTCGCAAAATTAGTGGAAAAAAAGGAACAAAAATATTGTCTCCCTACCGCTAACCCACGTTCATAAAAGCCATGAAACCACAAGAAAGTCATAAGTGTGGACCCACCAAGATTGCAAGATCAGTAATGAATGGAGGCAGCACTTGTTATTTTCAGTTATACCGTATCAGCTAGCAGAGCAAAAACAAATGAACAAGAATCTAATATGATAGAAACAGAAAACGACAAAAGCAACAGGCCATGACAGTTTTTTTCTGTTTTAGTCTGTACATCAAAAACAAAGGTTACAAATCCAGTCTCCTAATTTTACCTTAATTTATCCTTCTTAAGCAACTCTGATGATGCTATTGCTATCTCCATTGCTGAAGCTTGGCATCATCTGAAATGCAGAGTGCCTCGAAGAGGATGAAGAATCCATTTGATCAGATTGTAAAGACAGCTTGAGTGACAATGGTGAAGGATCGATGACTGAATTCAAGTTCAAGTTCAAGTTCAAATCAGATGCCTGAGGAGTTGGGAAAATAGGAACCGGACGGATGAGCTTTTCGGTTGTAATATTGTTATTCGATTGATTCCCCAGTGCTAATGTCAGATTTTCCATTGGATTCTCAATTGGAACCGGTAAGACCGCCGGATTAACAGTCATAGTAAAGGCCACCGGCATCATAGAAAATCCATTGCTCTCGGGTGGCTGAATTGTGTTCTCTTGTTGATGATCTTGGTCTTCTTCCATTGGAATGGCGGCTACCTAACCATATAGTATCAAAATAAAAGATCATAATAAAGGCCAGTAATTTATGAAAATATTTCTACATTAAATGCAACAATTTGTAATAAATTCGTTGATCAATCGATTAACATAATCTTATATATCTATACACCTAATAGAAGCCAAAATCTTTAGATTTAAAAAAACCGAATAATTTTTTTGCTTTTTAATTTCTATATTAAGCTATTTCCTAAGCAAAACAAAGAGAAGAAAATGGGTTTTTGAGAAAAGAGAAAGATATAATAGTAATTTCTAATACCGAATCGGTGGTGATATCGAAAAGGCTAGATCTACGACGGCGGCGATTGAGATTGTTTCGTCGGAGAAAGTATTTCTGAGCATGGCTCGCTACTTGTGTCGGCGTTCGAGTCTTCACGAAGTTTCTAGAAATACCTTTCCAATCCCCTTTCCCTGCTTTTTGCAATCCTAATAGAAACCGCTTGTGCTCTTCCTCCGTCCACGGCACCCCTAATTTTATTTAATAAAAAATCAAAATCAGAAATTAAAAAAGCGAAAGAACGAAAAAAAAGTAAAGATCTAAAAATAAAATATATATATAAAGAAAACCTCGTTTGCGCTCGCGATTTCCGGTGGAGTGAGGAACGGCCTCGTCGGCAGAGGCGTAACCAGTGGTTACGTTATCAACTTCTTTATTGTTGTTGGTGCTTTTGTTGTTAATATTGTTATTAATGTTCGAATCGTGAGGCAGTTCATATTGAGAAAGATTGTTCATACTAACACTTTTCCTCATCGAATCAACCACCACCCTGACTCCGAAAAGCATGATCACTCCTCCTCCGCCGGCGTTCGCAGTGGCGTTGGCGGTGGAGGAAGAGGCGGAGGCAGACGTGTTAGGCGGCATCCTCTTTTTTCTTCTTCAGACTTTTCCCTATAACGAAAACTGTGACCGTACAATTAGAGAGAGAAAAGAAGAGAGAAAAGTCGTAAAGAACATACACAGAAGAGTCGCGTGGAGAATATATATAGCACAAGGGTTGGGAGGCACCACGTTGTGGAAACTGTTTTCGATGTGCGGGAAAATACGTGGCGTTTAGTGGTTGGTGAATCTGTTTTAAGTGTTTGTTATCCTGTCTGCTTATCAAATCTCTAAAAAGATAGTGGGCTCAGAGAGTGTTTTGGACTTCGCGACTATGCTCTGGACAAATAATGCAGCAATTTGCAAGATTATAAAATTAGATTGAGATTTTTAAATTATAGTAAAATTTTTAAATACGATATTTAAATTTTAAATATTTTTAATATGATATTTAAATTTTAAAATTTTTAATTTGATTAATTTTAAATTACAAAATATAATAGATAATTAAATTTTTAATTATTATATTTATTAATAAATTTTATAATTTATATATTATATTAAAAAATTTTTAAATTTAGATATTATATTAAATAATTAGTTTATTATTTGTGTAATACATGAATTATCTTATTTTATTAATTTATTTTTAATTATTTTTTAATCAATTATCTTTAATTGTAATTGAAATAATTTTTTTAGAAGATTTACTTTGTGATGTAGTAAATTAAAAATTACTTATCATTTAATTTAATTATTTGTTATATATTTAAAAAGGTAAACATAAATAATTTATGTATGTAAAAAAATTTATCTTCATGATGACACATAAAATAAATTCTAATTTTATGTTATTTATCAAATAAATATATTTTAAAAAAATTAGTTATTCAAATTTTTAAAATTTAAAAGAAAGACAAAATCATATATATCTAATTATTTATATTTGAAATTAATTTATAGCTAAAATATAATGAAAAAAAAATCTTATAAATCATGGTTAATTATAATGTTATTTCAAAAATCATAAATTATTTTTTTAATTTCAATTGTTTTTCTTTTGCCAAATAATCTCATACACTTTAAGTATGATAATATTATTTATCATAAGAAAAATATATAATTTTATATCAATTAAATCTTAGAAAGTTAGTTAAATAAATTTAATTCAATTAAACTAATTAAAATAAATTAAAAAATATGTATTTTTAAATTTATATTCATGTTTGATTAATAAATATTTTTCAAAATTCAAGCAAAAATTTTTTTAAAAAAAGGCAAATGGACCATAATTGAATATAATTTTTTTATTTTATTAGAAAGTAGACATGTTCATTAGTTGGATTATGAGTCAGATTTATGATTTTAAGTATAACCTTTTAAGTATGGATTCAAAATATTATTATGTTAAAAAATTATTTAATTTTAAATTTAAAATATATTTAATATTATAAAATTTTAACATTTTAATAATAAATATAAAATTGAATAGGTGATTTGAATTAAACTTGAAACTGAATCTAAATTTAGAAATACTTACAACTGGATGTCATCAAATTCATTGACACTTCTTAATTTTTTAAATTCATATTTTTTTAAAATTATATTTAAGAAAATATCAAGTACTTATTAAATAAGGTTTGATTTGAAAAATAAAAAAGAATGAAATCAAATTGGATTTCAATTTTCCTAAGTTTTTTATACTTAAAAAGAGTGTTATGACTTTGAAAAGGAAGAAATATAGTAGATTACAAATTTTTATACAAAATCATAATTGATGGGCTGATTATATTATATATATATATATATTTCAAAATCCAATTAGTTCTTGTTATTTTAACAATATTTTAATATAAATAGTAGGTTCAAATCAATGTAATCAAGCAAATTATTAATGAAAGAGTTTTTGCATATTGTAGGAAAGCTGAATTAAGAAAAAAATTTATTTAATTGAGTGAAGAGTCAAATATAAAGAAAAAAGCTTATAGACATACTTACAAAATAGAAAAATAAATATATTTTGTAACTTTGCACCTTGTAATATATGAAAAAAGAAAATCAATTGAAATAAAAAATATTACCTAATTGAGTAAAAAGTTAAAAGTAAGGGGAAAAGTTTTGTAGACAGTACCTACAAAATATAAAAATATGTGTTTATATAACTTTAAATCTTGTAATATATATATATATATATATATATATATGTCAAAGGTAAAGACTTAGGACATGTCATAAGTATATAAAAAAGAAAAAAAAAATGCTTCAATAGCTTTCACTTTTTAATATAAAAAGAAAACAAGGTAATACAAAAATGGAGGACAATAAAAAAAAAAAAATCAAATTGATGTTAAGGAATCATATTAAACAATCATTTATAAATGATTAAGAGATTAAATTTGATCCCTTTAAATAATAAAATATTATCATGAAATTTATTAAGATAAAATTACATTTGATAATTTTAAATTTTCAGATATAGTTAAAAAAAATTAATTTTAAAAATAAAAAATATATTTTTCCTAATTGAAAATGATAAGTGAAGTTTTTAATATTCCACAGGCAAACTTTATAATTATTAATATTATAAATTTAATTGTAAAGGCAATAAAAATATAAGCATTCCTAAATGTAGCACTAATTGTAGATCAATTGCTTTTTCACTCGTTATTTGGTCATTTAGGACTAAATCTCATGTCCAGACCCATATGTATAACTAATCATTAGAACATTAATTTTTAAAAATAAAAAGATATATTTAAATGTGTATTTGACAAATAAAGATAATTTCTTTTAGTAAAAAGAAAAACTTTAGATAATTAAAAATTTTAAAATAAATATATCTTAAAAAGATTTGGATAACCAATAATTTTTAAATACATTTATTTAATCCATAAATAAAAAATAAGAATTAATTTTACTTATTTAAATAAAATCTTACCAAAATAAAAAATAATAATTTTGTCCCTTTAATTATTTTAAATCTAAATTGATTTTTATAATTAAATAAATTTTGCAATACATTTTTTGATAAATAGTCTAAAATTTTTAAAAAATATATCTTATATATATTTATAAAGAGAAATTTTAAAAATTTTCTTATATGTCGAAAAGAAAAATTATCCACGTAAACATTCAAATCAACAAATCTTATCTGATAATTATATATGTTGTAATATAATATATGTATATATATATATATATATATATATATATATATATTAGATTTGTTTTTCATTACATTGACTCAATTAAATACTTTTTCTTTTTTATTTTTGTTTTTTCTTTCACATATAGATTGTAATCTTAATTTGAATTTATATTTAATGCATTATCTATATTTATGCAACACACTATTAACCATATAATGATACTTTATAAAAATTTAATTTTAAAAATTTTAAAATTAAAAAAAATACACTTAAATCTTAAATTATTTTTCTTATCACACTTTTAAACATACTTTTTTAATTTCAATTTTTTTCAATTATAACAATAATGTTAAGCTATACATAAATGAATTAGTTTCAATTTTCGGTTAGATTTTTTAATCAAGGACACTTGCTCATCTGAAAAGAAATACTAATAATAATAATAATAATAATAATGATAATAAAAGGAAAAAAAAATCTGCTTGGCAAATGGCTAAGGTTTTGCACATTTGACGACAAAATATTCATTATTTTTTATGCAAACGAAATATTCATTATTCCAATGAAGTGCAGCACAAAACAGCATGTACCCAAAGTTTTCTTCTTTTTTTTTTTTTTTTTTTGGCAATTAAGAAATGGACAATATGCACATGAAAGTGCAGGGAGTGTTTCCTCGAAAATAATATATTATCCAATGCTTTTTTTTTTTTTTTAAAGAGTCAGATGAATCCAGTCAACCTGTGTTGCGAACCCCCCCAAGCGAGCTAAGCGAACCCCCCCCCCCCCTTTTTTTTTCCCCTCCTAACCTGTTTACCGTCCAAATCATTTTCCTAGAAAATTCCTGGCCCCCAGCTTTTTTTTCAAATACTAAAGTTTCCGTTTGATTAGTTTTTTATATTTTATATTTTGTTATTTATTTTGTATTTTTATTTTTTATTAAAAAATAAAATATCACACAAACGCAAAAATACATATATATTTAATATTTTAAGGGTAAATTAATCTTTTTATTTAAAGAAGAGATATTTTAAAGAGCTCATAAGTATTTTAATCATTCTTTTATGATGTTGCTCTACTTTTCTCGTCCTTCGCTCTATTGACTTGATCGAAAAATAAGCATGAAAATTTCTTCCCACCTTCACTTTTGACTTTGCTCTTGGTTTTTAGGCGCTTGAACTCTTCCCGGAATTTGCACAGAAACTTAACTTTTAAAATTTTCAAAGTCACCAAATTAAATAGTTAAGATTTGTAGGATGGAATTAACATAATTTCTAATCTTTTTCATATGAGTCAAGCCAACTTTTGCTTTCTACTTCACTAATTTTATCATGGTAAAATCGAGTCGAGTTAATTGAGTTTCAATACTAATTTTTAAAAATTTTCAACAGGCGGTTAATGCTTGAAATTTTATTTTGAAAGTTATTAGTTCAGATTTTAAAAAAATAGGATAAAATTTATGAAAATAAAGAAAATTATTTTTGTTTTGTAATTAAATATCATATGTATAAAAATAAATTAACTTTTAAATTGAATTTTAATGTCAACAATAAATAATCTTGAGTTTCAAATAATTGAATTGGACAATTCATGCGCTTGTTTTATATTCATGTAGTGTCAAATACATATAGAATATGAGAAATTATCATGTTAATCATGTTGAAAATTTTTATCAAACTCATATAATTTTTATTAAAACTCAAATCGTATCACTTTCATATTTTTCTTTTATATCATATTTAAATTTATTAAATCTATAAACTATCACAAACTCTAACAATAATAAATACTAATCTTGAATGTTACTATGTTGTAAAGATAAGAGATTGAGTAATCTATATATCCAATTAAAAAAATAATTTGAATTAGCCATCTTTATCAATTATAGTAATAATAAATAATGAAAGATTTAATGATTTTTTTTTTAAATTTAATTTTTTATTTCTAATATGAAATTAAAAACATTGTAATAGAGTATG